TTAGAATGTTGTAAATATAAAATTATTCTTGTAAAATAAACAATCTAATAAATAAATAGTTGTCAATTCTCAAGAACAAAGAAAATGTATAAATTCACTTTCATCATATGTTTAAGTTTTATTACAATTCTAATCATCACTTATTAAGACAAACATTTCTGAAGAGTGAATGTAGTTAAATTAATAGCGGTGTCAAAGGAAAAAAAAATTCACACAGTCTTTTTTTTTTTTTTTTTTTTTTTTCTGAGTGCAAAGGTTAAAGATTTCCCAACATAAATTGCCCAGAGACTAGACCCTTGTTTGGTAGATTGCAATTTAGATACAACCCCAACCGAAGAAACTTAAAGGTGGTTGGATTTGGTGATCTAAAATACAATTTGAGATTGATAGTTCCTTGAATGCTCATTCAGAATGCCTGGTTGAGATAAAAATGTCAATGTTAGTCTGGCTATGGTTTCAAATCCTATGGATTATTTCATTGTGCATTTATTTATTATTTTCCCTGCATGCATTAACATTTATCTTAATGAGATCCTGATATTGTTTCAGAGGGAGTTTTATTTTTATTTTTTAATTTTTATTTATTTATTTATTTTTTGGGGCTTTAAACTAGTCCTTTCCATTTTTTTTGCATTTGTTTCTACCTTCCTGCATGGATGTTATTTGTGGATCCTTTTCTGGCCTCTTGTCACTACCCACACTTTTTACTGGATTGCCTTAAAAAGTACCCCTGAATCCTCTTCCTTCCTGCTTAATAACCCCTTCCTTCTTTGTGCATTTGCATGATTCTTAATCTTTATTATATAAATGTGCATTTAAAGTGTAAGCTAAGGAGCATAGAATGTTTTATTTATTTTTTTATCTTTGAATGTGCTGAGAGAAGCCCTAAATATTTTATTGGCTTCTATTAATAATCTCATCATGCTTTTTCAAGATTTGATATGATAGCCAGACATTTGTCATAACTGAAAAACTTTATTTTGATCTGAAATTTTATATAAAAGACCCCATAAAGAATTTTACTTGCCAACATCATCAGAACATATTTAACTTGTTTAAAGAAGAAATTTCACTGCATTGAAGACTACGAAAGGTAGATTACATTGGCTATATGCAAATAATACAAATTAAAAAGACCTGTCAAACATTATCCACAATAATTGATTAATGAAGAAAGCAAATTTTATTTCCATTATCTTTGGCAAGATTTCAAATAGGCAATGATTACATGCTTTATTCATTTCCTTTTTTGAATTCAATTTCTGCTTGTAAATAACTTTTTAAATTTTGATCTTTTGTCCTACAGTCATCTTTTCACATTGGTATTCTTTGTTGGTTTGTGTTCTGTTATCATTGTTGTCATTATCGTCACTTATCATTTATGACTGTCTTCATCATTATTATCACTGCTATTATCAGCCATCATTACCATTATCATCATCTCCATCATCATCACCACTATTATCATTGTCACCATTATCATTATCAGTCAACATCAGCACTATGATAATTATTATCACTCAACAACACCACTGTTATTATCACTGCTATCATCACTATTATTATTATTATCATCATTATTTCTTCTCCAAAGAGAATCACGTCCAGTTGGATTTGTTTTTTTGTTTTTTTTTTGGACAAGGTCCAGGTGAGGCCATTTTTTTTCTCTTCATATCTTTGTGTATATTGTATTCCATGATTGCGTGTTCTCATATTAAACAGAAATAAATTTTAAAAAATCTGCACATTCAAATATTCTTATATAAAATGGTTGATATGCTGCCATAAAACCAATAAAGACATTTAGTATTCACTATTTTCTGTGAAGAGATGAGTGTCTTTTTTTTTATTGGTAGATATTCCCTTTTTACTGATAAGCATTGGTTGGTTGATTTTATGATATATCAAGTCTTGATGGGTTATTTAGTTATTTAATGCTGAACTTTGTATGGGGGCACATTGTGAGACTCAAACTCAGTACTCACTAGTAATCAAACTAGCCTCACTAACAAGGCACGGTCATATTCAGGACTTGTTTTCCTAGACAAAAAAATGTTGCAATTTATCTCTTCTAATTGCTTAACTGAGTCTGCATCTTTCTTCTGCCATGATGATATTTTATTTTTTGTTATAATCCAGAGATCTCAAACATGCTGTCCATGGGCTATCTTTTTGCAACTCATGAGGAGCCATTTTCATGACCAATATTTTCTTCAAATTTTTATAAATCTAATAAACGTGTCCCTCGCCACTTCCATACTTTTGCAGTTACAGTATAGAGCTAGACGTACCCACAGTGCAAAGAGACAGTCAATTTTAAGGACAGCCTGTTCTGTTATAGGGATGGGAAGAAGACTTGAACTCTCCGCCATCACGTGTTCTTCACCAGGTATCTGGTGGGAAGGTTTATAAATGTACTTTCTGGCAATGTTTCTGTCTCCTCTCTTTAGTAGGTTTTAGATTTAAAAAAAAAAAAAAAAAAAAAAAAAAAAAAAAACATTTAACCCTGCATTCATCACATGGAATGTTTTGTTACCCACAAATTTTTAAAGTACTCTTAATTCCTAGTTGGCCACATGTTTCTTTTGCTCCCTCCCATGGTGCTCCTGACTCAGGGTGTGAAGCATGCAGTATGGTGCAGCTGTAGCTCAGTTGTCATGGAAGGCAGACTCCAGAGGACTATCCATTTATGGAAATCTGAGATGACTAACACATGGTTAAAGACCTGTGCATTGTGATTCTTTACACTAGAAAACAGCTCTAAATTGTCATAAATAAATTAAATAATTGTCTTTACACTAGAAAAACAGCTCTAAATTGTCATAAATAATTACTCTTATATTCTTTGCAGGAGAAACTTTTGTACTTCCTGTTATCAAGTGAGACTTTCTTTGTCCATTGATAGTCATTTATCTTGTATACTGAGAGTTGCTCTACCCTTACTGCTTGGGGATTTATATAGTCTATGCCTTAGCTATGCTAATTACATATCACTAAACTTCTATTGGATGCATTTAAAATAAGTGAAGGATATAATGTATATTTCTGCGTATAAGGCGACCTTTAAATAAAACAAGGTAAAATAATATAGCATTTTCAGGAATTGATTCTATATCTGTAGTTTAAGATGATTGCTTATTGATTATATAAAGAAATGTTGTTACTTAGTGTATCCTTAGAAATTCAAATAAATGAAATAAGAAAACTGATTCTATATCATGTTTTTCGTACACACGTCTAAAAGGGAAACCATTGCTTTGCTTACGTTTCATCATGTGAGCTCTTGCGAATACTGATTCTTTTTCTTCTTCCTCTTCTTTTCCTATATCTAAACAGTTACAAACAGCCTGGTGTACTAATGGCCATTTACTTATACTTCAATCACAAAATACCACTAATAACGGTGCTGATCGCAATCATAACTTGATGTTTACATTTTCTCAGCTAAGAATTTAAAGTTTCTTTTTTAGAATTGTCATATAAGATGACTTCAGTTTTTAAGGGTGATTTTTTGGGATTTGAAGGTTGTCTTATATGCAGAAATATCCAGTACATCTTTATGAATAGGGTGCTGGAACTTTGTCAGTCTGATCCAATTCCCAGGTTCTGGTAGTTCTGTTAACTTTTGCAACAGTGTCACTTGTGGCCAAAGCAATTTATTCACTTTGAAGTCAAAACTTTTTTTTTTTTTTCTTGAAGAGAACTTCTTCACAAAAACATTTCTGATCTGGTAAATCACTTTGATGAAGTCAGTTCTTAGTTTTCTTTGCTGTGTTTGTAATTCTTAATATTTAGGAAACTTAGCTTGTGGCAATAAAACTTGACTCTTTATTATTGACACAAGCACAAAGAAAAGAGAATCTCTCACTGACTCTAGGGATGCAAGAAAAAGCACTCTCCTCTCTGGATGGCTTTGGCGCCAGCCAAAGTCTTCTTATTTTCAGAGGAAAAAAGTTGTTTTTTTTTATTTCTTTTTTTTCACCTCCTAGTGGCAAGAGGAGATAATCTCAGTTTTAGTTTATATTCTTATTTTCATTTTTTATTTTCCTTTTTCCCAAAACTCATACAAGTTGAGTAAAAGTCAAATAGTAGAGTGATGAGAGTTAGGAAGATTACGTTAGACTAATTTTACATATAGGTAGATTCGACTTGCCTTGAAAATCAGCATTCAGAATTCTGGCTTTTATCTGAGCTTGATCACTGGCACTGACGGGGAATATATGATTATAACAAACATTTTTTGTTTTGTTTTTGTTTTCATTCTTTATCTTTGATAGTCAACATAACGTACTTAGTTTTTATTTATTAAGGTTAGTTTGAGTTTGACACAAGGCTACAAATATGTGGGACCAAATTGAGGCTCAAACTCACTACCCAATAGTAATAACCAACCAGACAAACATTTCATGCTAAAGTGCCCAAATTATTATTTACTTAACATAGTTTGACACAAGGCCACAAATATGTTGGACCTATTGAGAATCAAACATACTACTCAGTAGTAATGGTCAATCAACTAAACTAAATCATTACTCAACACTAAGACACTCTAAAAATAATAATCATAGCTTAGTTTTGGCATAAGAATTAGAATTAAACTAGTCAATATTAATGATTAACCAGATTAATTTGTTAACCTTACCCCACGTCAAAATGTGTTAGAGATGATTCATAGTTGATTGCTTTTCTTGATGACTGTCATTTGAAATCATGTAAAATTTACATTCGTGTGTGGTCAGTATTTGAGATAATGTCATTCAATGTCAATTGTCGCAATAGGTCTTTTGTCACCAACTTTTCCTGACGCTACAGTATATAAGACAACAAACTATGAATTTTCATGGTTTATCTTGGCTAAGCCATGTAAAAAAAACTTCAGTAGTTTTAACTTTTTAAACATGTTAATAGTTTTATGGGTTTTTTTCTTCTGAAGATTATAGCAGTGGGGATTTTTCAAATTGTTGTTTAATTTTGATATATTTTTTTATTTTTAATTTCAGAGATGATCGTGAAACAAGATTTACAGCAAGTAAAATGGCTCTGTTAACTGTGATGAGATCTTGGCCAGGTGAGTTTGCAGACCTGTAAGATTTGTTTTTCACCTAGGTATCTAATGTTACCATTTTGGAAGATATATAAAATACACTTGTTTCCTTCTCAAATATTAGAACTTAATAAATTTGGTGTAAATGCACAGAAATAAATTTCTTTATAATTTGGCCAACATGGAATCTGGTGTAGTTTAGCAGAGGAAGAGAACCTGGCTGTATCTTGTCTGCCTGGCTTGAACTTGTATCCTTCCAAATGCAGAAAACACAGTTTAAGCAAACGTGATGTGTGACACGTGATTTGATTCAGGTGCCTGGATGTATAAAAAGCTGTGTGGGCTCTGATGTAGATAAATAGACAGGCCAATAGACAGTAGGGGGAAGGTGTCTAGCATGGCAGATTGCAGTACTGGAATTTGAGAGTTGCAGATTTGAAATAAATTCCTTGCATCGATTCTCACAACAGAGAAGGTACCAATGTTATTGTTACCAACCAGTTTACAAGCTATTTCGGCATTTGACAGATGATGGCAGATGGTAAATTTGATTTGAAGCTCATTCCAGAATTTGATTGTTCTATGCCAGTTGTATCATGGGTTGAGAAAGTGGAATAATTTTGCCGTTTGAATGAGGGGAAGCGAGTGGGGCATGTCACTCTTATTACGACTGGCTGGAGGTGCATTTGATGTGCACCAACAGATGGAGGAGACCAAAAAAGAGGACCCAGCAAGAATAAAAGCAGTACTTTTCAAGGCGTTTGCTCTGCAGTTTTCATGATGATAATGAGATCAGTGGGAAGTGTAGTGGGAATAATAACTTACCGGTTTGGCAAAGGAAGAGAATCTGGCTGTGTCTTGCCTGCCTGGACCGAACTTGTCATTCAGAATGCAGAAAACATGATTTAAGCATGATATAGGCCACATAGTTTGATTCAGCTGTACAAAAAGCTGTATGGGCTCTGAGGTAGATAAATAGATAGGCCAATAGACAGTGGTGGGAAGGTGTTTAGTGTGGCAGATTTCAGTGTTGGAATTTGTGAATCATGTAATTGAAATACATTCCCTGCATCATTACTCACAAGAGAGAAGGTATTGGTGCTATTGTTACCAACCAGTTTACTGTATTGTAACTTAATAAACAAAATTCAGTAAATAAAAAAACAAACAGTAAAAGATTTTCCCCTCCCCCTACTGAAACCCTGAAATATCCCCCCTGATTGAGAAGTCCTGCATTAGGCGATGAAATAAGGGGACAATTGCTTAGAGCCTTAAGCCTAATGATCTTCTATCTTGCCTGTTGCTGATGACATACTGCAGCTACACTTTGCTGAAAAAAATAAAAGAATAATTCTATTTCTCTCTTGTTCATATAACTTTTAACGTATCCCCCCCCCCCCCCAATAAAAAAAACTCTTATTTTCATCTGAACTTCTGGGATGAGAAGTTGTAATTATTTACATGCAGACTATTAACCTCATCTTTGTTGTTGTTATCACAACGTTTTGGCTATTGTCCCCTAATCCTTCATCAGGTGTATGTTGATCTGGGTTACCTATATCATCAGGCAGAGAATTGTCTCATGGCACAATAGCCTAGTGGATTAGAGAATTGGTTCATGCATTGGTGATATAGTAATTGTGGGTTCAGTCCCTGGGCTGGGCAGTGTGTACTTGGACTCAATGGAAACAGGGTGAACAATAACTGAGCAGTACTAAAAATAAGTACTACATGAGATATACCTTGACATGGGCAGTGGAACAAGAACAGTCACCTCCAAAAAGTATTGGGTTCTGTTTGGAATTCTCTATAGGTGAAGGTTGGATGGCACAACCGCCGTAAACGTTGTGATAACGACAACAATGAAGACACTAGTTTGAATGTAAATAGAGTAAATGAGGGTTTTATTATTGTAAGATTTTTGCTCCAAATTTTCGGTAGCAGTTTTCAGAGTGTTAGATAAGAGAAAGAACCTTAATCCTTCAAGTTTTTTATTACATAAAGGTTTTGTCACAAATGAAAATCAAGTATTGTTTCTGTGTATTCTAATCATTGATTGTATCGAATCCTGTCACATTTCAGATGTCATTGCAACATTTTAATTTTTTATTTCTTTATGGCAGTTTTTATATATATCATTTTAATTTATTTATTTATTTTTATAGGTCTTATAAGAATGTGTCGACCCACAGGCTCAGGATTACAATCTCTGATTGGTATCTTGTATATTCAAAACAATGAAATTCGGGTAAATATATTTTAAGAACCTTTAATCTTTGCTCAGGATGTTTTACATACGTAGTGCATGTATGTGTGCTAATGTCTGTACTTATATAGAATAACTGATCTTGGGTGTTCATTTTAGCCAATATAAACAATCAAGGATGAGAAATGGGCACAATGACTTAAATGAATACCCAAGGCCAGTTTTTATATAATGAATATATAACACTTACAGTCTAATTAGATTTATGACTATCACTCCTTTTGCTTACAAGGAGATGTCTGGTAGGACGTAATATAAATAGATTCCAACACCTTCAAATGAAATTCCAAATTATCCTTCCTAGTACTGAGAACATGTCTTGGTTATAAGACTGTGCACATTGGTGATTTTCTAACTAATGTTCAGCTATCATCTGTAAGTGTTCCGTCCTGGGTATGACGATAAACTGCGTCCAGGGTAAGATGATAAACTACGTCCAGTCGCAAGGCCTCTGATCAGGAGGTTTTGAGAAGCATGGAACCACCTCTTAATTGCTGGTGTTTCCAGGTCCACTCTGACCCAGGGTGGTTGCACCTATTTGCTATGGGCAAATAGTTAACACCCAAACTTGTATTAAAATAGGTTTCAATACCAGAAATATTTAAAAAAAAAGAAAATCCAGTAATAATTTTTGAAGGAAAAATTATTATCAGCAATACTTAAAAAAAAAAAAAAAAAAAAAAATATACCAGTAATACAAGCAACTATACGTTCTTTGGAAAAAAAATTAGGAAATGGAACTCAAAATACAAAAATGGTAAAAAGCATTATAAAAGTATAAAAATAGGTTTTAATACTAGAAATAGCTTGTAAAAAAATTATTACCAGAAATAAATTTTTGAAAAAACAAAATATTACCAACATACACACCTTTTTTTTTTTTTTTTTTACCAAACTATCGCTATGAATTTATTTAAAAAATTTTGTTGGCATTAAATGACCCAATGAGGTTGATATGCCATAAAACAACCAACCAACTAACCAACCTGTAAGTTTTATATATTTATTATATAACAATTGGTCTTTGGTGTTCATTTTAGCCACTGTGAATATTTCTTGTTCTGCATTGAGCTCTAATGTGAGACAACCAATAAACTGGTTTAGCTGTTTTTCTTGTTGATTGTGTTGTATTTTAATATTATCATTAATAATTAATCCCTGTAATGTCTTTTGTTACTCCTCCTTTCTTCTTGTTTTGACATATCCATTTTTGTCACTTTCATTAAATATCTGCTTACAAATCTATAAATCTAAATAATAAATGACTTACAATCTGCTGTTAACCGGGGCAAGGAACAGCTTGTTAATTTTAACACCTGCAAAATGAAACCACTTTCTTTTAATCATTTAAGAGATCACGTTTTATCTTCCATCAGCAACTCATTGTACCTTCTTGGACTAATGTTTTCTGCTGACATGAAATAGAAAGTACATTGAATTAATTGTGAGGTCTGATGCTAGGAAAGTTGGTTCACTGTGTTGTGCTAGACAATTTTTTGCTGGACAAATTATTTATTATTAATTTGTATTTTATATATTAAGAAAATTATTAACAAATATAAATAACATACATACCCACACACACATATATATATATATATATATATATATATATATATAAAATATAGATAACTAGACTCGTTTTAAAAAACCCTCGAATTTTTTGATTTGCTAATCAAATCAATCTCGAGGGGGGAAAAAGGTTTTAAAAAAAAAAGAGCTACAAACATGGACTTCTGCCGACAAAAAAAAATCGCACAGATGCAGGTCTGAAGCCCAAAGAAAAAAAACCTGATACGAGTAAACAACTAACAAAAAAGAGCTCAATACAACCGTAGAGCAGACCTGACTTTCCGTGACAATCCGCTTAGGTGAAACCTAGGTAGGTTTGTCTGGCTCACTAGGTGTATCTATATATATATATATATATATATATATATATATATATATAATTTAACATAGAAATCAACACTTAGAGGCTACAGTCTGTTTCATAAATAAATATATAAGATAAAAAAAATAAAAATAAGCAAAATAATTTAACCCAAATAAACAAATAAACAACTTCCGGCATGAAACAGTCTGTCGCCTCTGAGTGTTGACTTCATTGTTCATTGTTATATTTACACAGGCTCTATCTCTGATACTGAGCACTTTATCCCATAAATACAGCACATCTTAAGACTATATTTCTTTATATATATATATATATATATATATATATATTTTTTTTGTAGTGATGTTTAATGTTATAATTTTGAATATATATATATATATATATATATATATATATATATATATATATATATATATACATATGCACTCACTCTTATTTTAGCTTGAAAGACAACTTGAAATGTCTCAACTTTGATTGGGAAGCCCAAGCATCAAACTGAAAGGAGTCATGTAAGACATCTTTCATTAAGTTAAAGGGTTTTGAAGACAGTAGACTAAAGCACCGTGATCAGCTTTGTCAAGCTCTGAAGCACACACACCATCAAAAGTCTGCTTTAACAAGTTTCATCTGTCAGTGTGGCTTTGTTGCCCGCAGCAAGGCTGGGCTAGTATTGAACTTAAGAAAGCACAATTGAAATGTCTTACCCTTATCTGATTTTCTTCACAATAGCCTCTGCTAGCATGCATAAGTGTAAAACGAAAGGCCCCATCCACTGCTGGCCCTCATTATCGTTCATGATAGGAGAGTCCAACACACACACACACACACACGTGTGTGTGTGTGCGTATATGTATATATAATACAGGGTGTGATAGGTAAATTGTTGCCATTTTATATTTTTAATTTTGTGCATTATTTGTTTTTGATTTTTGCTGACTGCACAGCATAGTAGTGTCAGTTGAACACCGTCTGTGAGAAAAAGACGACCATGATGCAATTCACTCCACCGGAAATTTGGAAATGGCATGCTGTATTGCTTGGCTTTCACACCAGAAGTTCCAAAACAAACCTTTCAAAGTGTTTGGATGTCAGTCTGAGAACAATGTAGAGGATTTGGATAGAATTCAAATGTGTTTGGCGTGATCACTAGTGATGGCAGTGTTCTGCCTCCATTCATCTTCCCATAAAGCCAGAGACTTGATGTGGAGGCTAACATCATGTGCCTTAATGGTGGTAATGCTGCCTGGGTCAAAAGAGTGGCTGCTGGAAGAACTCGTGTCTGGCAACAGGACTCTGCACCATGCCACATAAGCATGAGAACTGTCAGACAATTTCTGTGACCACATCACCTGTAACATCTTGCCACCTAACTCCCCAGACTGCAACCCCCTTAATTATTATGTGTCAGGTGCAGTTGAGCAAGAAAGCAACGAAATTCCTTTTAACACCAAAGATGAACTGAAGGCAAGGATTACTTGTATTATTTATATTATTCGGACTGTTATCCTCATCCTCATTGCCATATTCACAATGTTTTGGTTGTTGTACACTTCGGGCTTCTTCAGTTAATTGGAATTTCAAGCTGAACCCTTTATTTCGACCATCGGGGTAGATTGTAGATTGTCCTCAAGGAAACATGGCCCAGTGGATAAAGACGTTGGTTAGATCCAGTGACTAGACCCAAAGAGTTGTGAGTTCAATACCAGGCCAAATCAGTGGTGAACCAAAAACTTGAAGAGTTGAGTTAAAGGGAAATAACTGAGACATCTGAAAGAGTCATGGCACGTGGAACTAGAACAATCTACCTCAGTGGACAGAATAAAGGGTTCAGTTCGAATTCCAATCACCTGAAGAAGGCTGGAGCATACAACAGCCAAAACATTGTGAATATGGCAATGGAGATGAGGATAACAGTCTGAATGATATAAATAATACAAGTAATCATAATAACTCATCTCAGAGATATAGACAGATATTGATGGCAAGGGTTTTGGCAATATTCACCAACTTAAATATGGAGACCATCCAGAAGAGTTGTAGGAGATTCCGAAGTCGTCTGGAAGCTTTGGTTGAAGCCAATGGTGTTTTATTTTTTTTTTCATTTTTTATTTTTTATTTTTTAAATAAATTTACTCTTTAGTATTTCAAGGTGTTTTTGTGTAATTTTAGTAAATTTATGATGAAATGAGATTTCAGTGCTATTTTACTTTTTACGAAATTTAGATGACAATTTATCCATTGTATTATGTATGTGTGTGTGTATATATATATATATATATATATATATAATAAAAAGGCTTAAACACTAATATTCCATGGTCATAATTTATTCCATTGGAATCATAAATATGATAACATTCATATTTCTCTCACTTAAACCATCTTTAACTCACCTCTCTAAAACTTCTCTCTGTTAAGTTTTAATCTCCCACCTTCTCTCGTCTGTTACCCCTCTTTTTAGCTCTAACATTAGTCCCACACTCTCATACTTACAAAAAATCTCTCTAAATTCTATTTTTTATTTCGAAGTTGTTTTTTCTGTTTTATTCTTGAATTTGTAGGTCTGATGAATTGATCGTATTTAATAAATTCCAATGGAATAAATTATGACCATGGAATATTAGTGTTTAAGCCTTTTTATTATATCCTTACTCTGTCCTGGACATTGAGTTCTACCTGGATTCTACCCACTTGGAATTATTTTTATTCAAAAAATATGTTTTATGTATGTATATTATATTTTGCATATGTATGTGAATATTTACCACTAATATTTTATTTATATATATATATATATATATATATATTTATTTATTGGGAGATAGACTCCAAGATCAGGTGCAAGCTGCACAGATTTTGCATTCTCACACAGTGATGGAAAACCAACAAATCCTAGTATCATCATAAAGCATTACTGGGGTATTCTAGGTTAATGGGAATGAAGCTTCAACCCTTAAAACTTGACTGTTTCACAGGGTCAGCATTTGTTGAACTCTGTTTGAGACACTGTTTTTTGCAGCATCATGAAGTATGTGTGGGTACTGTCATGGTTACTGGTGTGAAAAGTGGAATCTGTGATCAGAGTTCCAATTCTAGCTGTTGCTTTGCACCTAGGTCCTTTGAAGAGACAGAAATCAGTCTCTTCTCCTCCCTATGGGTTAAATAGCAGAGCAACCTGGGCTCTTGAGATTTGGATGGCATTCTATCTAGGAGAAGGAAATAGGAAACCACTCCACAGCATTTCTTACACTTATGGCAATTCATACATGTTAAAGAAAAGGAAAATGTATTCTGAAGAGATATGGCATTTAAAGATAATAATTTGTACAAAAGTATTTAATTGTATTCATATTTCCTCTTGTTTTAATAAAAACTAAATTTTGTTTTAATTTCCAGCAAGCAATAATGGATGTCATGTTTGATTTATTCCGGTTGACATTACCAAAGTGGACAGATAATTTTCAAGAAGCTTTGACCAGTGTTGGTAAGTTACTGTTTTGCTTTTATTTAATTTCTCTCTTTCTTTCTCTCTGTTTGATTCATACCTTTTCCAAGGGTATTTGCACATAAGTAAATATAATGAGCCCAACTGGAATTGGAACTTGGTTTTTCGATTTCCAATTCTGAGCTATTATCCATTACACCACCTACATATCCAAGCTTACAGCACCTGGTATTCCCATGCTATCACCCATCCAGGTACTGACCAGGCTTGATGTTACTTAACTTCAGTGATTGTATGTGCTTTTTCAGATCCATGAATAAAAATGGCTTCCAGCAAATGAAGTCTGTAGGTTTTAGTTAGAACCGTCCTTTTTTGAACCTCATGGCCTGGTCCTACAGAATCATAAAGAATTGTATCAAATATCAGAAATCACATCACTTGAGGACTTTCAACAGCAGCAACAACTAAAATGAATAACACATGTAACTTGAAGAGAAAATAATAACATAGTCAAGATGTTGACATTCCACACTACTTCAAACAAAAGGTTAGGAAGGAAAGCCCCATCAATACTGGAAAGAATGGACTTGAGATACCTGTTTTCATGAAAAATTGTTTTAATAGAAATTTTATAAATTGAACCAAAAGTACCCCTGGTTGCTTGGTCAATGAAGGCTGAATGTTGTTGTTTTTTTTTTTTTTATAAGAAAACTGTTAATATTGCCATTAGGTTTAGAGATAAGAACAGATATTACACTTTGATCCCATCTCTAACTTGAGTATCACTGGTTGTTTGGTCAATGAATATCAAATGTTTTCTTGTAAGGAAACAGCTAATATTACCATTAAATATTACCATTAAATTAATATTACTAAATTAAATTACCATTAAATTAATATTACCATTAAATATTACCAGCTAATATTACCATTAAAATTAGAGATGAGGAGAAGAAATACTACACTTTAATTTGGTGGTTCCCAAACTTTTTTTCTCTGGGCTGCATGAAAATTTGCTCGCACATCACCAAATTTTATCTAATAAAAACTACATTTAAAAATAAAAAACAGAGAGATGCTTAAAGGGAAATAACCAGGGATTCAAAGTCAGAACATATCACTGATAACTCTCTCCTCCAATTTGCAGAGCCTAGTTACTATATTCTTAATATTTGACATAAGGCAAAATATCCCAATGATAAAATCTGTCAATAATTATTTATAACTATTTATACTGGGACTCTTGCATGCAATTACAAGCAATTCATAATAATATTTTAAATTTTGAAATCATATTTGTTTTTGGCATATGAATTTTTTTAAACTGTTTCTAAATCTTTGATTGTCTTTCAATCATTCTGCCTCACCTGCTATCCTCTTCTGCTGCACATATGAAGTGCGCTGCACTGTTTTAGAACCACTGCTTTAATCCCAGCCTGATTGTCAGGAAAAAAGCATAACTGATATCACATAACTCTAGTTGCACTGGCTGATCAGGTCAATGAATGCTGAATGTTTCCACATAAGGAAATGGTTAATATTACCATTCCATTGTATTTGTTGTTTTTTATTGTAATTCTTCATTCACCAATTTACCTGAAAATGGTCAGATGTATTCAGAAGACTTCAAAGAATTGAAGATTTCTGTTTTTTCTTATTGTTGCTTTTTCATCAAATCATAGGGAACATATTTTCTAAGTTGTTAATGATGACAGTGAATTGTTAAACGGCTTGAATTCAGTTTTTAAGCTAATTTTTCAGCTGTAAAAGAAATATTCTGTTAATTTCAGACACTACCATACTAAATATAAATACTAATACTAAACAGAACAACCTGTTTATGGGGTGTGTCTTGAGCTGAAGTTAACTTTTTCCCTAAACCTTTAAGCCATAGTTGGCAAATTCTTTTGTTTAACAAATCTATTCCCTAAAACCATGAATATATTTGGATTGGTTTTCTAAACTCAAAGAACATTACAATTGTAGAGTGAGTGGCCATGGTTAAATATAAATGCTAGAACTGCCCAACAAATGGAATTGACAAAGTTTGTAATAAGCAATAAAAAGAAAAGAAAAAAAATGGTAAAAATTAATATCAAGTAAGCAAACAATATATGCAAGGCAAATTAACAGTAATAAAACAAAGCAAATGGCAAAAAGTTGACAAACTCAGAATTGAACTTTACACACAAGCAAAGTCAGATAAACAAATGTCGTGTTCAAACTTCAAGGCAAGACAGACTGGAAACGGGTCAGATGACATTGAGAACAAGTCTATTTTATGGGCTAGGAAGAAATTCTAGCATGTTTCTTTGTGTGCTTCTGCCTATAAATTGGGGAGGGGAAAGTGTTTTGTAGTCATTCCAATTGAAAGTCAAAAAAGCACATTTGGACATGAAATTTTTATGTCATGGGTGTTTTTGTTGGTTGCCTGTGAATATATGATATTGTGGTTTATGTCAGATTGAATGGTGATGGATGAGTTCTTGTGGTGAATGAGTGAATTATAATGGATGAATAAGTTGTGAATCTGATTAGCTAGGTTTAGGATAGTAAGTGTGGACCAGCCTCTCTCCACATACCCTTTGGCCTTGTGCCACAATTGTTGTTTTTGTAACAGTAAATACACATGCCAGTAGGAATTGGAACAAACAACAATGGAAGTTTGTGGAGTATTAATACGGAAAGTAAACTTGACAAACTACATCCGTGTCCTGGGTAAGACGATAAACTATGTCCAACAGCAAGGCCTCTGATTAGGAGGCTTTGAGGAGCATGGAACCACCTCTTAATTGTTGGTGTTCTCAGGTCCATTCTGACCAGGGGTGGTAGCACCTGTTAGGGTCCCAGCTGTGGGCAAATAGTTAACTCCGAAAAACAAAACGATTACCAGCAGCCATAGGTTTTTTGAAAAAAAAAAAAACGATTACCAGCAGCCATAGGTTTATTGGAAAAAAATAACGATTACCAGCAGCTATACAATTTTGAGGAAAAAAATATTTCCAGAAATTGATTTTTGGCAAAGCAAAAATATTACCAGGAAAAAAAAAAAGATGTTGGCTTTAAATAACCCATTGAGGTTGATATGCCGTAAAACAAAACAAACCAAACTTGACAATCTAAGTTCAAATTGCATCCCAGTTTGATGTGTTCACTTTTGCACTTATATCTTGGGAAAGGCATGAATCTTTTCTTTTCTCCTCCCAGCAGTACAGACAGAACTCTTTAGCCAATTTAAGAGAATGACTATTGTCAATTCAAAACCATTGAGAAGACAATGGTAAACTGTTCCACTAACCTGTCCAAGAAGTAACTGCTCTTTATGGATAATAATGAATTTGCGGAGAGACATGGTTATCTTCCTCCTGAGGAGTCATAGAATGGCATTTAAGAAAGATCTTGACATATTCTATGTGTTTCATTGACATGTCCATCTTTAAGAGGGTCAGATTAATAATTAAATAAGTTCAATTATATAATATAATCATTTAAAGCCATACAAACATTCTCATTTAGGCATATTTTTTTTTTTTTTTTTTTTTTTTTAAGCATTTCACCCCAAGCAAGGCGGGAAGCCACTAGGATGCAAGGGGTTACAGAAAGTTTAGAGCAAGATCAGATAGGAGTGATAGAAGAAAGGATGAGGGTAGTGGATAGATCAAGGCAATTAGAGATGTCGATTGACATTACACTTGAATAGCTGGAGATTATAGCTCACAGGGAACAGGAATAGGGAAGGGAATTCCACAGGCGAGAGGTGCGAGACATGAAGCTATTAGAGTAGAAGAGACGGCTACATTTAGGAGTTTCGACAGTGAAGGGGTGAGAGTGGGATGCCAGCCTTGTAAGGTGCTGGAACTCATGACGTCTGGGAACCAGCGAATGCAGCTCCTCGGAGCAATTTCCATGAAAGTGTTTGTAGAACAGACAGAAGGAGGCGAGGACGTGTCTGTGAGAAAGTGACTGTAGACGAGACGCCAGAGCAGGGCCAACTACATTGCATATCCGCCTCTGGAGCCTATCAAGAACCCCGAGGCAAACAGAAAGGGCACCAGACCATATGACCATTTGAGAGTAGAGAAAAAATATCATTCACTCTATGTACATTTTGGACATTACTTATAGGATGAAGTGATATTTATATTTAATGGAATATAGGGAAACATTTTGTTATCAGTAAGAAAATTATTGAGCTGGTGATAATGCTGTCTAAAAATGATCAGAGTTTTGTGAATTCAGTTATTATAAAATCATTTAGTGTATGCCTTAAAATGTTTGAATTTTAATTAATTTAACCAGTCTTGGTTAATAACTGTAAATAATTGCTTTTTATTTATTTATTTTTTTTTTCATAAAATTTTATTTTTAAACTTAACTTTTGCCATTGTAATTTTAGTTTTCATGGTTAATTTTATTTCTGCCTTTTTGAAAAGGCAAAAAACATACAATATGATTATGCATGAATTTGTTTCATTGTAGTTTCAAATATGCCTTTAATTTTATTTACTGTCTGTTAAATACTTGTGTGTATTTCAGTCTGTTTCTAATTGTCACAATTTCTAAATGTCAGATCCATCTGCAATGAAGGAGGAATGGAAACTCGGTGAGGGTTTTGTTGCAGAAGAAGGACGAGCAATTTTGTCTCATTTGGCTAAAGTCAGGTAAGAAAAATTTTTTTTTTTCTGTTTTAAACTTGAGAATTTCTTACTTATAGAAAGGTTTATTGTTGTACTTATAATTTGCAAAAAAAACATGCAAAAATATAATCTGTATTTTAACCATTTTTTTTTTTTTTTTTTTTTTTTTAAATCTGGTAATTCTTAATGTTAAGGATGGGCAAACAGCCCACCTGATGGTTCTATGCACCCTTCAAAAGCACAAATGTTATTGTTTTAAATGTTCTTAAAAAAATGTTGGTATTTTTTTTAATTACCTACTGCATAAAATAGTAATCTGTTCAAAAGAGGAACAAAGAAGAAACCCATATGTACCACCATAAATAATGTTTGCCCATGTAGTTGTTGATGTACCATTAAGTATCAAAACTGCAGGAGTACTGGTTGTGTTCAGGGCAAAGTAACCCAATAGACTTATCTTTCTTTAGGCTGTTTCTGAAATTATAAATGTCCTTCATCTAGATTGGCTCTGAAATTGCCTAGCATAGATTCCAGAGACAATTTAATTTTTTATCCCTTTGAACAAATTATTCAAAGTTCTTATGGAAAAAGGTGGGCTCATTCTTAATTAACGGGTAGGACAGGATGATTCAACAATAGTTGTCAACTAAGATGAAGAGTTCAATCCTTAAGAGGATTAGCATTGACAGTCTCCATAATAGTCATTTGAAAGGTAGAAGGGCATAGGGTGGGCTAATTAGGTAGAAAGGCAGATGAGCATATTTAACTGCTCTCTCACTTTTTTCTTTTTATGTAGACAATAGTGGCAATCTATTTATCATAATTTATGTGGACAATAGTGGCAGTCTATTTATCATAATTTCCACATCAATATATATTATGGAAGAGATTCTGGGCTCACATATGTGATCCAGAATCTTGTCCAAAGAAACTCTGTGGTTAGTCACACCATTTGAAACTTGGCTTGAGTTGGGAATTCATTCATCTTTATGTATTATTCTTTGTTCCAACATTTTGTAAATAATTGCAGTTTTGATTCTGGACTTCTTATCCAATATTTGTGTAGATGAGTGCACAGAATCATATATGGCTGCATTGTCAGTTTTAAATATTACTGGAAGATTTTCCAGCTTGTTTTCAATACATATAGAAGTTCTAATTTTATTTTTCTGTAAAAAGTGTATGATTCCATAGTATCAGCCATAGCAAGAGTTTCCACTGCTTGTGTACTTTTCACAACTCTCAGGAAATACAAACGTAATTATCATTGTTACCCACAAGAAAGATTATGGGTTCTGCATGAGATCCATATTGTTGAATCACCTTGTCCTACCTGCTAATTAAAAATGAGCTCTTTTGATTTGCTGGGATCAAAAGAGTGAGCAGGTAAGACGGTGATTTAACAATATTTGTTAATCAAGGATGAAGATTTCAATCTTTGGGAGGATTAGCATTAACAATCTTCATAATATTCATTTGAAAGGTAGAAGCATAGTTAACTGATTCCGCTACCAAAGTTACAATGCCTAGTTGGATTATCATTAAAAGAAAATGTATTTTTGCTTTTCAGGCCTAACCTGGTTGAAAATCATTTAGCCTTAATTCTAGCTGCTTGGATCGAGACAGGGATTTTACAGGTTAGTGATATTTTAATTTTTTTTTTGCTCTTGATTTATTTTTCATAATTCATATTTTTTTTTGTGCCATGACTCTGCAGGCCATGGATGATCATGGCTCTCCACAACCTACTATTTTTAACCTTTAGCAACGTTTGTTCCTTTGTCAAACCTCCCCCTCCCATGTTCTACCATCTACTCTCACAAACTCAAGTAGGTGACCTGCTGTCTTCCTCTGTCCATTTTTCTTTCAATGTGTACTGTGAATATCTAATTCTCCAAACCCTCTTTCTTCATTATGTCCCAGAAATTTCATTTGTCTCTTACTTATTCTAAGTATGTTTCACTTTTTTTTTTTCATTTTCCTTAAAACTTTTTTGTTGCTTATATGCTCTGTAAATGTTATTCTCAGCATCCTTCTGTAGATTTTGTAAAATTAAATGATAATCATTTTGATAATATCATGCTCTTGACATCAACAAGTTTGAAGCCTAATATTCCTGTGTATTAAGATTTTTGAAACAAATGATTCCAACAATGTCTTAAATTGAATAAATTTTGATTACTACATTCAACTGTGGTTAATACAAATTATTTGCAAGTACAAACTGCTCATCTATGGACCCCCATCAATGGACTTCGGATGCAAAACAAAATCTGCAGGCAAAAAACTTTTCAGCACATTTGAAAATATTTAATGTATTTTTTAAAAAATTAAAAAAAATTTTTTTAATTTAAAAATTGTTTTTAATTTTTTTAACATTTTTTAATGTTTTAAAATTTAAAAAAAATTTTTCATTTTTAAAATTTAAAAAATTTTTAATTTAAAAAATTTTTTAAAAAATTATTTAAAATTTTTTAGAATTTTTTATTTTGTTTTTTTATTGTTTTTTTTTTATTTATTTTGTTTTTTTTTATTTATTTATTTATTTTTTTTTGTTTTTTTTTTTTTTTTTTTTTTTTTTTTATTATTTTTTTTTTTTTTATTTTTGATTTCGTTTTTTTTATTTATTCTGTTTATGTGTAATTCTTTTTCATGTCACCAGATGAATTGCTATGTATTGGATTGTTCAGATGATATGGAAGTAAAATTTTCTGTCATTTCATACCTAAGAAATAAAATAATTTGTTTTGGTTTATTTTTAGTTTGCTGCTAAATATATTTCTTTTTTAATTGCATTATACTTGTAAAATATCCAAATTTTATATCTTGTCATCACTTTTCCATAGAGCAGGTAACTAGCTTATTAATAATCACATCAAAAGTGCTTATCCTATTAATTATTATTATCGTTATTATTAGTGTCGCACATTAATGTAATCAATAGAAATTCTGTTCTTGAGCTATGGGGTCAGCAAGACACCTCACAATTCAAGAACTTTTCAGAGAATTCTTGCAGAATGATGGCAGCTTTCTGGGGGCCTACAATCTTCAGAAAGTGAAAGAGACTTCGGAATAGGGAGGATTAAGGAAAGGACAAAAGATGAAAGGGATTCAAGAAAACAGAAGATGGCGATTGATGTTGCATTTAAATTTTTGAAGATTAGAGTTTTCAGAGAAGCAAGTAAACAGAATGGAGTTCCACAGGCAGGAAGTATGAGAAAAGAAACTGTTGGAGTAGAAGTAATGTTTGCATTTAGCTATTTAAACAGTAAAAGGGTTGCACCTCGATGCCAATCTAGTAGCAGACTTAAACTCATGCAGTCATATCACCATTTGGAAAGAAGACAGATTTGTGCCTTTTTATGGTTTGAAAGCTAGACCAGAATTAGAACTTGTCATACCAAATCAACTTTGAGCATTATGATGTACTTAAATAAATTAATGTCTTATGTGCTAACTCCATATAAAACTTCCGCTACTGTTTCATTGTGAAATTGTCAACTGCAGGCTTATGCAAATATTTTTATTTTTTTGTAGGCTTTAGTTGAAGTTATAACCAGTACAGATGGTCACTTATTTGTACGTGCTGTAATATTATTGGGAGAACTCCTTCATATGGTAAGTATCAGTCAGACATCAGTGTCAAAATATTATACACTTTTTCTTCTCTTTAATAAATTGCTCTCTTTATCAAAATGCACTTAAATTACACATGTGCCACCATTGGTCTGTGGAAATATTGTCCGGCATGAAGCTGGTCCATAGTATAAAAAAAATTGCTCTTTACGGATTTTTTTTCTTTCTTATCTATGAATTTCTATGATTTTTTATGGGAACGATAGTGTAGTGGTTTCCAGTTATCTTTTCCATGGTTTTGAATGCCATTATCCTTTATTTTGTTTCTTTAAATGGTGTATCCATTAGACCCGAGGTCCCCAACCCCTGTGGCCTTGTAGCAAATGATACACAGACCATAATGGTCCACAGCCCAAAGAAATAATTAACTTGTTTAAAATTATATAATAGATAAATTGAATTTTGAACTTTAATTTCCAACATCATATCTTTTTGAAGTGGGACTTTCTCCAGTTTTTTTTTTTACAGTGAGTCACCCTTTACAAGGGCTATCACTCGAGGTAGAGGGTTATGTTAGGAGGCCATCTGTGTGTATGGGTGTGGGAGATAATGATTAACCCTAGCCTTAAATATGTTAAGATTGTAGTGATTGAGAAAACCTGTTGGGAGTCGATTCCACAGGGCAGTGGTTTGTGGGAAGAAGCTGCTCAAGTGGAACTTACTTCTCACCGATGGAATATAGAGGAAATGTGGCTGATTTGCTAATATGGAAGTGGCATGGAACCAAAACAAAACTATAAAGTAGACTAGACATAAATAACACACTTCGAACATTATTGTCTCCCTTCCCTCCCAGAGGGGGCTGTCTAGTTGCAGGGTAACAAGCTCGGGGATTACACTGATTCATCATTATGGTAGGTTGATATTGATGCAATAATAGTATTATAGGGAGACTAAGTACACAAGGGTGTAGTTGGTCTGGAGGCCAGATGTGAGAGTCAAAAGATTATACACTTTTAATAAATTGTTCTTTTTATTATTGCTCTCTTTATTGAAATGCACCTAAATTACATGCATGTGACACTACTGATCAACAGAAAGATTTTCTGGCATGAAGCTGGTACATAATATAAAAAAAAGGTTGGTGATCACTGGCTTAGAGAATTTCATAAGAATGCTTTGCTGGCTATAAAATAGAAACGCTTCAGATCAAGATAAAATCTCACCTTCCTCCTCTATCTGGGTGTCCCAATCATAGTGTAACATTGTTGATTAGTAGTCTTAAATTCTGAATGAAATCCTCAGATTCCCAATAGGAGGTGAAAGAAGTCTTCCCTGATTAAGAACCTCTGGAATAACAAGAGGAAAATATTGTATACTAGTAGTAATTTTGTTTCCTTTTATATTGATGAGAGAAAATGAATACACGGTTCTCCACGGTTTCCTTTTCTTTATTCTCCGTAATTTCCATGACATCATGGGAAAGATGGTGGAATGTTTTCTCATTGCTACCTTCAGAGTTCTTGATTAAATCTTCTAGGCCAGTGGTTCCCAAATTTTTTTCTCTGGGTTGCATTTTTGGAACGAAAATTTGTTCGCATATTACCAAATTTTACATGATAAAAATTACATTTAAAATGAAAAAAAACAGAGAGGGTGAAAGGGAGATAACCACGGATTCGAAGTTGGACTATTATCATTGATAACAATCTCCTTCAAATAGTCTTAATATTAGGTTGGTGCAAAAATAATGACGTAATAATGTCGTTTTTTGACGTAACGTCAAAAAACGACATTATTACGTCATTATTTTTGCACCAACCTAATACTTGATATAATGCAAAAATATCACAGTGATAAAATTGGTCAATAATTATTTATAACTATTTATACTGGGACTCATGCATGCAATTACAAATAATCCATAATAATATTTTAAATTTTGAAATCATATTTATTTTTGGTATTTGAATGTTTTGAAACCGTTTCTAAATATTTGATTGTCTTTCAATCATTCTTCCTTTCCTGCTTAATAATAGGATTTTATTTGATTCTGATTAACATTTAATATTGAATAAAACATTGGCTCTTAATCTTTTGGGGGCCCATGTATCATTTTCACTATATTTCAGAATGTCATTTGCTACTTGCAAGTGTGTCTGATTATGTATCATACTGTGAACGAACAACTGGGAGCCCCTCTGTCTTTTACCTCTCACTTGAGACAAATTGATCCCCATGTTGTGTTTTGCTTCTCCCTTGTGCTTGAAGTGTGTAACAAAGACTATAAAAGACTCTTGGTACATTCACAAGAATGGGAAGATGAAATCAACAGCATGACATGAAAACCAGAAGAATCTGATTCTCAATAGTTTGTGTTTATTTCAATGAGGTTCCTCTGTGTTGTAATTTTATCTCATCCTTGTCACTAAAATGTTGTAACCTAGGGAAGGTTACTGAATAGAATAATCACACAAAGATTGGTAATTGTAGTGAACGAAATAATCAAGTACCCGGGAAAAAAGTTTGTGTTTTGTGTGCGATTTGCCAAAGCGGACATCCCGGTGTAAAACGGACCTTATATTTCGTGAGGCACTATAACTCAGATTTACTAAAATCTGTGCATTGCCTCAATTTTCCGACCATTTCCAAAATAAGGTCTGTTTTACACCGGATGTCCGCATATTGGCAAATCGCATACAAAACACAAAAACTTTTCCGGGGTACTTGATTATCTCTTTCACTACATTCCCCTTGTCACATAAGTGACACTCATGGGCGGGCCTCTTTATTCTTAAGCTTCTCGAGCGGGCGACTAAAGGAGGAGATTGTGTGTTATGTTCTGGGTTTTTACATTCGAGCCCAAAGTCAGCAAGATGCTTTCTCACCTGTGAAGCGGGTACTAAGGTTTCGTTGATAGTAGCAAATATTCAACGAGACCTTCCCGACCGAACTGGAGAAGGGTTCCGTGCAATATAATCGAAAATGGGTCAGTATGTCCTAAGACGCAGGCGAAAAGATGGACGATTTTAACGGCTGATGGAAAGGCTCTCAGAAGCCGGGGAGTTGGAAACATCAAACTCAGTATTAACAATGGTGACCCTGTCAGTAAGCAAGGTGTGGCACCGTGTTGGAATGGACATCACCCATTATAACGGACATCACTATTTAACCCTGATTGACTGTGGCCCAACACGGTTCACTATTTGGCGGCGTCTGCGTCGCTATGTAGGTACAGATACGTCAACAAGTGACACTAGCAGTGAGTGCTCAGAAAGTAACAAATTTGCTTTGAGAACGCTTACTCTTCAGTAATGAGCGATAATATTTAGGACAAGAACAAAACACATAAGATTTGCCAGTGGCGTGTAGAAGTAGTCAACTGCTAGAAGTGAGTCAAGTGAATTCTACAATGAATCTCCAACTGCAGATCAACATACAGTATTTACTATTGTATTTATGTGAATGAGGACATACCTCTTATCATCCATAGGTATTTTACAACACCCTGATAGGATGGACGGCTCCTCTGTTCTTAACCCTAACTAGGACTCTAATTATATAGGGCTGCAAGTGGAGACCTTTGATTTCTAACAAAGTGCCATTTGATCCCATTTTTCATTTATTTCATTATTATTTTCTTCCCCTTCTCTTAAATGAGTTGCCACTTTGAACCCTAAACTTTATCTTCCATCCATTAAAACAAAAAAAAGAAATACCTCTGACTCCAATTACATCATTTAAGACTCACTTTGTGCGTGTTCACCCAGTTGTATGGGAGACCTATGGTGCCACAACAGAATTTTTTGTCTGTAGGTCAATATTCTGACAATTTGAATTTACCAATCTGTGGTCCTAGTTCCCCACTGAAACTCTACAATTCTTCTCAATGGAGAAAGTCTCTCCTGGTTGAAACCCCATTTTATTTTTGTTTTTAATTCTTTCTTAATTTCTCTTATTTCTAGGCTAACACTCTTTTACCTCATGAATGTACATCGCATAGCCATTGTCTACCTACTTTGATGGCCATTGCTTCCTCATTTGACATCTCAGGACAACACAGACAGTAAGTATTTCATTTGATTAGGTTCTTTTTACATATCATTATATAAAGAAATTATTATTATTAGATAAAAGTCTGACTGTGCCATCAAAGATAATGGCAATTGTTAAAAAGTTTTAATATTGAGATGCAATGAAACAAAGGTTTTGAAACAATGTATTGAGATTCAATAAAGCAGAGATGCAGAATTCATAATTAAAATAGGTTCATAAACTGTTAATTAAATTTAATTAATCTGTTCCCTTACTATTATGTTTCTTAAAAAGATTTTTGTTATATTACATTTATCACATAAATATAACAGTTACATCTATTTTGTCATATGTCCTAATGAAAGTTCAAAAGCACTCTGTGCATTGTTTTTAATTTTGTTGACCACACAGTATAGTAGGGTCAGTTGGGCACCATCGGTGAGAAAAAGAGCACCATGATGCAACTTACTTTGTCACCTCACTCCCCAGATTGCAACCCCCTTGATTATTATGTGTGGGATGCAGTTGAGTGAGAGATCAACAAAACTCCTTGTAACACCAAAGATAAACTGAAGGCAAGGATTATGGCAGCATTTACCAACTTATACAAGGAAACCGTCCAGAAAAGATGCAGGAGATTTCTAAATCGTCTGGGGGCTGTGGTTGAAGCCAATAGCGATTTTATTAAATAAATTTACTCTTTAGTATTTCAAGATATATATATGTTAAAATGAGATGTCAGTGTTATGTTAATTTTTGCATAATTTAGAAGACAATTTATCCATCTCACCCTGTATCTTTAAATATCATAAATAAAAACTGGAGTTATGTTCCTCATATTTTTTAAGGTTCAATGAACATTTTTTTTTAATATAAATTTTAATCAACTGAACAATTTTTTTTTTCTTTTTTAGAATTTAATATCTTATTACTTATTCATTAAAATAATGTTTCAATAGGGTAAAAGATGAACAGTTGATGTAATACTAGCTGAAATACCTGTTTATGTTGGGTATAAGTTCAAGATTGATCTTTTTCAGTACTGTTGGTCACTCAATACAAGGCCTATGAGCCATTCAAGGTAGGGATTTAAATAATTGAGTTTGTTGTAAGGGTGGAAGGAAAGGAGCTATTGGTACATATGAGAATATGTTGTATAGATAATGGTTGACTGTTGACTTGAAGAGGCTATGATTGCAGTGATTAGGGAAGCATCCTCTCAGGAGTCAATTCCACAGTGCAACAGTTCTGGGTTCCAGCAAATGTGAGATTGCAAGAATTAACCAATAACAGTTATATAAACATATGCAAAAAACACACACACAATTTATATATATATATATATATATATATATATATATATATATATATATAAAGTTGTGATCAAGCATAGATCAGAATCTAACAGAATGATAAGATAAAGAACAGATAGATAATGTTTATCAATCTACATGTTTCACTTTTATTAAAACTTCATCAGAATGCTTTTTACATATCTCATTCTCTGATGAAGTTTTAATAAAAGTGAAACATGTTAGATTGATAAACATTTCCTATTTGGAGTTTGTCTATATTTCTGAGATGAGGTATTATGTACAGTATTTACATTAGTCGGACTATTGTCCTCATCTTTGTCGCCATATTTGTCACAACGCTTCGCCGCAGTACACTGCCTCACTTAACCAGCGCCTTTATCCACTGTGCCATGGGACACATGGCACAGTGGATAAAGGCGTTGGTTAGATCCAGTGACAGACCCAAAGAAGGAGAGTTCAATTCCTGGTTAAGGCAGTGGAGAACTTTCAGAGGGAAAATTAGCAGGAGATAACTGATAACTGACATCCATCAAACATGGCACGTGGAATTAGAACAGTCTACCCCAGCGATCGAAATAAAGGGTTCGGTTCGAAATTCCAACCACCTGAAGAAGGCCGGAGCGTACAACGGCCGAAACGTTGTGACAAATATGGCGACAAAGATTTCCTATTTGTTCTTTATCAGGTATAGTAATTTTGGCACCAAAAAATGATCATAAAATTTTGTAAAAAATTAGGAATGTCATGGTTCAGTGAGCATAGCTAATGACAACAAAGTATTTAGTAGGTCATGACAAAGTGTTAAGTAGTTCAAGTGTCAGGAATTCTATTGTATTGTACCTTAGTGACAATCCCCCCAAAAAATAAGGATTAAATTTGTGAGTGTCTGTAGAAATAATTTTCGTGTTTCCCATGTAAGAATATGCAAAACCAACCAACTAACCAAAATGAAAGAACTCTTTCATGACATTAATCTATATAATATATAAACAATTTCTTAAAGAACTCAAACTGTATTCCAAAACATAACTTCCACAAAACACACACATCATCGCCTCTAGTAATTGTCTGCAAAAAACATGTATATGCACAAAAGCTGAGTTTCATTTACCATGTATTCAAGTGTGAAAGTAGAGTAACATATCGTATTTATATTATTTCAAAACTCTCAAGAAAATTAAATGTCAGCATTAAATGCCCCATAAAGAGTTGATATGCCGTTAAACAAATCAAATTTTCATTTTATTTTTAGCCGCGCTACTCTTGCAGTCAGTCATTTAAATCGCATCCATGCCTTGAAGAAGCGTGGCCCTATTCCGTGTAGCCTCTTTCTCGACCAACTTGTTCAGAATGCAAACACAACTCTTCAGCAAGATGCCTTCTATACTCATCTTGGAAAAGACCGATTGCCACCTGATGCTGTGAAAACAGTGGTAAGTTTGTTTATTTTCTTTGGTAATTTGTTAAAATAAGCAGTTCAAGTGGGCTGTTCTCTAAATGAAGAAACACTTGTGGTTTTATCTTGTGTGACCCTCATCAGCTGTATATTGATCACAGTAACCTACAGGGAATTCTGAACAGAACCCTTTATTTAATCTACGGGTTTTTTGCTGTTCTCATTCCACTGCCCATATCTAGGGATATCATCTAGTTCTTATTTTTAGTACTGCTCAGTAATTGCTTGCTTATTTTTTACTGTGTTAAATTAAACACTGCTTGTCTCAGAGATTAAACCCACAGTTACTATGTCACCGAATTTGCAAACCATTGCTTTTATCCACTCAGCCAGTGGTTCACAAACAGTGTGACATGTCTCATAGGCACAGCAGAAGAGGATAGCAGGTGAGGCAGCATGATTGAATGACAATCAAAGATTTAGAAACAGTTTAAAAAATTTATATGCCAAAAATAAATATTTCAAAATTTAAAATATTATTATGGGCTGTTTGCAATTGGATGTCTGAGTCCCAGTATAAATAGTTATAAATAATTATTGACCGATTTTATCATTGTGATATTTTTGCATTATATCAAGTATTAAAAATATATTAACTAGGCTCGGCAAATTGTAGGAGAGAGTTACCAATGATAATGTTCCGACTTCAAATCCATGGTTATCTCCCTTTAACCTTCTGTATTTTTTTATTTTTAAATTTACTTTTTTATCACAAAATTTGGTGAGGTGCAAGCAAATTTTCATTTGGAAAATGCATCCCAGAGAAAAAAAAAATTTGGGGAACCCATGCACTAGGCTATAGTGGATTAAAGCATAGTAATTGCGAGTTCAATCCCTGGGTTTGGTAATGTGTACTTGGACTAAGTGGGAACAGGTGATCAATAACTGATCAGTACTAAAAATAAGAACTAGATGAGATGTCCCTAGATTTGGGCAGTGGAACGAGAACAGTCTACCTCTATAGATTAAAAGATTTTTATTAGGTTACTTAAATCCGAAACATATTTTTGATTGTAAGAATATATTTTTTTTTTTTTTTTTTTTTTTTTTCTTGGTTACCTTGAAACGGGATAAGTTTTAAAATAAATCAGTTGTAGAAATAATTAATGAATTACACTAGATCCTTTCATTTTGCTTTTAATTCTCTGTATGATAATTATCAGTGAAATAATGTGGCTGAATCAGGGATGAAGCATCCGAATAAGGTACTTGCCCGCATCCGAATAATATAACAAATAATATAAAATAGTTAAAAGAAATTTTATGGATAATTTACTTAAAATAATTCCTTGTTTTAAGATGTTAGTTTAGTCTTTCAAAAAATGTAATTTTTAAATTGTTTTCTTTTCAGTCAAGTATTGATGATTTTGTAAGCCAAGTGATTCGCGATGCCCATGTTCTTGGCACAAAAGATTACACAGCATGGGACTGGGACCTTATATCTGCTGTTCTCAAGGTTGGTGACATATTTTTTTAGTGTCATTCTTGTGTCGAGAAATCTCAAGAAATGACAAGTTTTCATTTGTGTTTTTTAAATTTTATTTTATAAACATTTGTTAAGGACAACTGTCCTATTTTAGATCAGTCAATTAATTAACCAATTACACTTTCCACGTTGATAGCAGTTATGCCACCTGCACATCTGGTTCCAGATTAATGAATACAAAAAGTCATCTTTTTTTAATCATAGTGCCCTTAGTGTATAAAGGCTTTTTTTTTTATGGTACCCCATCAGAAAATACTAAACAACTGCATTTATGCTAAACTGTTTAAATTAGTAAAAAAAAAAAGAAGAAAATCACGATTTAGCTAGCATTATTTTTAACTAAATGTTTACCCAATACAGGGTCCAAGAGCCACTCAAGGTCGAGGGTTACTAAATGAAATTGTTGAATGAACATAGAATGGTGGAAATAAGTGTAGATTATAAGAATACATATGATAGGTAATGGTTGACCCTAGACTTGAAGAGGTTAAGAGTGTAGTGTTTGGGGAAGCATCTTGGTTGTTTCATAAAATTGTGGTGGCTCTTGGGAAGAAGCTAAATGGAACTTCCTCCTTACTAATGGAATACAAATGGATAGATGTACATGTGATGGTTGGTTTTAGCTGCAAAGGTTTGAACTAGTGAAACTAGGAGATGTATATCATTGAATATTTCACATGGAAATAGCGATAATGTTATGAGAAGGCTTGCAACACTGCATCTGTGGCAGAGGGATTGTAGGGTGGAAAATAATTAATCACCCACAAGGCTGCATAAACACTTTGTGAAGGGTGGAAAGAGAGGATTGGGCAACACCACCCCGGATAGTGATTTTCTAAGCCTGGCTTAGATGTGTCACAAGGACGAAAATATGGGGCACCCAGTGAGGGTCGAACTCACAACTCAGTCATAATTGATCTAGCAAGACAAGCATTCTAACCATAACACCACGTCGAAGTGCCCAAACTCCACTCCAGATATGACAGTAATACTCCATTTTGGTCTGGTCTGACTCTTGTAAAGACAGTTTGGTAGGTGGAGTCACTTACTTTCTCAGGCAGTATAAGGAGCTAGACTTAAAATTTAAAAAAATTACTGCTGTATTAAGAACTGCTTTGACTTTAATTTCGTTTGGAAATTTTTTGTTTTGTGGAAAGGTAACTCTTGTAAGAAGAGTGGGTGATTGGTTTGTAAAGAGCCCATAGTTAATTGTAAATTGAATAATGGATGTCAAAAAGACGAATAAAAACGCAAGGGTCTAGTTTTCACATTTCATGTACACTTTAGGAACCTCAGCACTATACTGTAGTCTACTGGGTGTAGAAAAGAATTATTACTTCAATGAAAATATTACATACTTTGATTAAAAAAAAATTACTGTTGCTTAAGAGTTTGAGTTTAATCTTAAAGGGAGATAATTGCATATTGTAATTGGTCTAATTTAAATATAAAAAAATAATGAAAACCGTAGAAATATTGTGAGAATTATTAAAATGTGGCACAGATACAAAAGGAATAAATGTCAAAATAACACCGATCAATTTGTTTAAGATAGGCTTGCTTCAGTTTTTTTTTTTTTTAAATTTTCCTAATAATTTCATATAAAATTGTAGTTATTCCCCTTGAATATTAATCAGTGCAGCAGTATTCTTTATATAAACTGTTAATAATTTTTTAAAAGTCTTGACGTCATATTACATAGCCTTAAGCAGATCCAGTATAATTTAGTAAAACTTTCTGGCCATCAACAAGTTCATATTGCTAAAGTAGAGGATTCAATTAATCTTATATTTAACAATTTTGCAAAAGAATAACAATAAGAAGCTAAGATTCTTTATTCATTTTCATGATTTTATTTAAATTAATGTAAGTGCAAATCAAAAATGTTTAGTGGCCAACCAGGAAACAGGATTGCTGTATGTTCATTGGTTAGGAGTAATGATGTCATCTTTGTATTAAAAACCTTTGGAAAAGACTATTAAACCTTGGGTTATTCATCACATGCTAACCATGTTCTTGTTATTTGTTGTGCAAATTTCTTTCATTGGATTGGAGGAATTGTTTTTGCATTTGATATTAAGTTTGTACTAATTTTTATTTTGCATTTAAAATCTTTGTGCTTAAAGAGTAGTGTTTATTGAAAGGTTTTTGAACAGAAGTAGACATTTATCTCTTGTTTCCTGTTTAGGATTGGGTTGCTGGTTTCTTATAAAGTTTTTTCATTCTCTTTCACTTCCAGTAACCCCTTGTGTCTTAGTGACATTATTGCCTTGCTTGGGGTGAACCGATTAAAAAAAAAAAAAAAAAAAAAAAAAAAATCAGATGAAAATAGTGAAAAAAAAAAAAAATGAAAAGTGTAATAAAGTCAGAGCAAATTGGTTAAAGAAAAAGTACGACTTTTCTTCTTGAGGAACACTATCCAATTACAAATCTGGTGACAAATATTTTGAAAATATCTGTGTGTATTATCATTATTTGACCTTTCATTTGGTCTGCTGTTTTCTTTGGAATTTGAGATGGCTTAGAGTCAAAACCTCAGTCAAATATCATAATTATGATGCAACATTGTAATATAGTGCAAGAGAAACAGCTTTGAGAAAGCTTTGTTATTGATTTTCTTCTTATGGAATGAAACTGTTTTTTGCCATCTATGAACTTTATGATGACGACAGGGTGTATAAATTTATTTACTTACTTTTTTATTTTCATTTCCTGCAGTGCCCTGATGACAAGTTCAAAAAAATGGATGACCAGAACAGTCAAAGGTAAGAAATAAAAATTGTGATATGATTTTTAATGTTTAATATAGGCATGTTACATTTTGGGGATTGTAGATTTTGCAAATGTACAAATGAATTGATTGTAATTCATGCGCTCCCTCTGAAAATAATGTTTCCTGTTTTTATATTTCAAAATATTAAACCACAACATCAGAAGTGGCTGTTGATGGCATGGCAATAGGGGTTGTAATTTCCCATTAATAACTCACATTTTGTTTTTATTTTTTTTTTAACCCTGTTATAGATAGTAGTCTGGCAAAATCATGTCTGACCTGAAAGGGTTTATGAAGTAGAAGCCTGCTATTGAACTCTTGTATGTAGAAAAGAAATGCATCCATTGACCTATAATAACAGTTGTAACCTCGGAAAGGTTACGGAATACAATAATCACACAAAGATTGGTAATGAATAATAATACTTAGAACAAGAACAACACACATAAGATTCGCCAGTAGCGTGTAGAAGTAGTAGTCAACTGCTAGAAGTGAGTCAAGTGAATTCCACAATGAATCTCCAACTATATTTACTACTGTATTTATGTGAATGGGGACATGCCCATTATCGTCTGTAGGTATGCTACAACAATAACACTTGCTAAACATTTATGGAGACCAAACAGTGGACATGAACACAATTATGTAGTGGGTAATGTCTTTCAGCAGGTATAATAGCAATATATGATAAACCATGTTCAGGGTTATCCAGTACATGCTTTTGTTCATTACTGGCAAAGAATTACATAACCAGTAGTGGTGACTATATGGAATAATAGTTTTGTTGCTGAAGACTTATTCTATCCAATTCATTGTGCTCCATGTATAAGTTGTTTATCTGGAAGTAAATGGGAGACATTTTGGAGACATTTTTATATTTTCATAGATTTTAAATTAGAAACATTTATATTTTAATCACGGTAATTTTTTGAAAGGATTTTCTTTTTAATCCAACATTATTTCTTATTACTATAAATGTTATTTTTAGGGGGTGCACATGTTTGACTTGTCACCCACTCTTTTTCATTTTATTAAACTGAAATTTAATAACCAACCTAAATTGAGAGGTCCTGAAGAAAAATTATACCTTTTGATAGGAATCAAGAAAAATGTCTTCCTTAACAGGTAATTCTTAATGCTCTGTGGCTGAACTGGTAAAGGCATGTTTTGGCTTAAGAACAGGTTTCTCTGAGGTAAAAAAAAAAGGGATGCAGGTTCAATTCCTGTCAGAGGCAAAATTTTTCTTTAGTAGGACTTCTCAATTTAGAATAATTGTTATTAATTTTACTGTTTAATAAAATAAAGACAGAGGTAACTACTCAGACATGTGTACCCACTAAAAATGTTTATAGTAATAAGATTTTAAACAATTTAAACCAACCATTTCATTAACTATGGTAGCTCTATACGTACTGGTTGCAGCAGAAATACCTCCCACATAATGGTAAGACATTATCTAGATGAAGACACCATTGCCACTAATATCTTACCATTGTGTAGGAGGTCTTTCTGTTGTACCCTTTGTAATTACATATAGATAGTTATAACTTTTGGCAATATAATTTTTCTATAGAGAAATAGACTGGCATGGTAGAGTATAGTGTAAAAGATTTTCCTCAAGACAAGATATTGTTCATCATATCAAATTGCACTTAAATCAGTTTAAAAATGAAAAAAAAAAAAAATTTCTTAAAACTCTGTAAAATTCTTGTATCTGATGTTGATATATTTCTTTTTAATTTTCAAATAAATAATTAAAATAATGCTTTATAATTTCTTAAAATTAATCCACTATTCATGAAAAAATCATCCAATGAACTTCAATGAAGTTAAATGAAATATTTATTTTCAGACATTGTTTCATTGTATCAGCAAAATTATATGGAATTAAAGAAGACAAGATAACGATTGACATTGCATTTGTTTTTCTTCAGCACCATTCCATGAGGTTCAAAGAAGGATTATTCTTCACTAAAAACTACAGGCTTCATTTACTGGAAGCCATTTTTAATTATTGATTTGAGAAAGTGGTTGTTGACAGTTTAGAAATTTCTGAATGGGGTGGGGATCATGCATGACCTCCATTGAAAGTCTCAATCTAACGAGACTAATTAAGAGCATGACTTGAGTTGTTAAATTAATTAATGTTCTGGTTTTGTAACATTCTGAAGTGTTGGACAACTGTATATAGAAGCCAAGCAAAAGTTACTTGAAATTATGTAAAATTATTAACCTGTTTACCTGGAAAATATAGTGTCTATATTGCTTACCTGCAATGAAAGCAATATTGCTGTTATTAACTGAATTCTTTAATCTTCTAATTCTTTCCCCCCTCTTTTACTTGCAGGTTTGTAAGGCGCTTGCTTTACTTCTATAAAGCAAGCAACAATCAATTCTCCAGTATTGACCTCACCCACTCTCATGCACGCAAGATGGCCATTGCTGGGTGCCATTTAGTGGACTTCTTCATTGAATGTGATGTGGTCAGTTATTATTTCTTACACTTAAAATATTTGTTTATTTAAACTTCTTTATTAAAACATCAGCATATTTTTTCAGGTAGAGAATAAATTATACTATCCATAAAAAATCCTGTTCATGATGATAGAATTTTATTATATAAGAAACTTGGATTTTTTTAAAAATATTCTAATGAAAAGTATTCTCAAATAAAATATTTTGTAGTTTTACTGGCAAGGCTATAAGGTCTTATATATAATTACCACACCTTAGTAGATATTTGAAGGCTTTGAAATTACATTATCTTCTCTGTTGGGCACTAATGAAGAACAAACCTATAGGTAATGTTTTAACTCTAGTGAAGAATGTATCCATGCTCACCCTTTTTGGCTCGAGTGACTAACAGACCCATGCCTACCATTTTTGACTATTGAAAAACGTACCCATGTCTACTGTTTTTGAAACAAGTGAAGAATATACCAGTGTCCACCCTTTTTGGCTTTATTGATGAACATATTTGTGCCCACCCACTTTGACTCTAGTGAAGAATGTACCCAAGCATACCCTTTTTGGCTTTATTGAAGAACATATTTGTGCCCACCCACTTTGACTCTAGTGAAGAATGTACCCAAGCATACCCTTTTTGGCTTTATTGAAGAACATATTTGTGCCCAATCTTTTTGACTCTAGTGAAGAATGTACCCAAGCATACTCTTTTTGGCTTTAGTGAAGAACATACCTGTGCCCACACTTTTTGACATTTGTGAAGAATGTAATCATGCCCATGCTTTTTGACTCTTGGGAAAAACATACCTGTGCCCAATCTTTTTGACTCAAGTGAAGAATGTAATCATATCCACCCTTTTAGACTCTTCATTGAGATTTTTTTCTAACAAATTCAACATTTGTCCTGGGTAAGGCGTTAAACTACATCCACATCCTGGGTAAGACAATAAACTATGTCCAGCAGCAAGGCCTCTGATCAGGAGGTTTTGAGGAGCGTGGAACCACATCTTAATTGCTGGTGTTCCCAGGTCCACCCTGACCCAGGGTGGTAGCACCTGTTAGTGTCTCAGCTATGGGCAAATAGTTAACTATTACCAGCAATACTTTTTTGGAAAAAATTATTACCAGAAACAGGTTTTTGACAAAACGAAATATTACCAGCAATAAAAAATCTTGTTGGCATTAAATAACCCATTGATGTTGATATGCCGTAAAATAAATCAAATCAATCTAAACCAAAGAATACATATTCTATTCATATGAATCTATCCGAAAAATGTTGTCGGCATTAAATAACCCATTGAGGTTGATATGCCGTAAAAAAAAAAAAAAAATAAACCAAACTCAACCAAATTCAAAATTAAAAAAAATCTAGCATCGGTTGAGATATTATTAAAATAGCCAACCAAATCATCTTTTTTGAATGCCTTTTTTAAAAGACTAATTTTCTAATTTTGGTGCTTGTGTACTCTTGTTTCTGTTGATATACTTTCTATCCTGTTCTTTATTGTGAATGTTGTAAATATTTCAATGGATTTTTATTGACTAGTATTTTTTTTTTTTTTTTTTTTTTGCAGGAGGAAAATAATAAACTGATTAGTGAATTTTTAGGGGACTTTAACAATTGCTTATCAGAAGTAAGTTTTTTTTTTTTTTTTTTTTCCTTTTCTCTATTGTTTTAATGCAAAATGATTAGTAATACTTTCATGTATGTTTTTCTTAATTACCATTAGAAATTACTACATATGACAATTTATAACTTATTTTAGCAAACAGTTTAAATTTATTAAACTATAAAAAAAAATGATGTGTGCTATTAATTATGGCATTTTTACTACATCATATCATTTGAGTGTCTTATCTTTTTTTAACTGCAAAAAGAAATCACTGCTAATCAAGGTAAAATAATAATAATAATAATAATAATGAAAACAGCTACATTGCCATAGCTGTGTATCAGGTCATCCCATAAGTTCTGTCTGGATTTTGAATAATAAAGAATGAGTGATCAAATCTTACATTTTATTGAAATTTATTCATCAATATAGTTTTCATGATTAGCTATGACTTCCTTCCATCTGCTTACAAGTTTTTTAATCCCACTAATAAAGAACTCTTTTGGTTTTGCGGAGAACTCTGAAATGTCAGTTTTAACCTCCTCATGGCTTTTGAGAGTTAGTCCATTCAAATGATTCCGTAAACTATAGAACAAATGGTAGTCTGAAGGAGCAAGGTTGGGAGAATAAGGTGGATAAGGAATTCTTTCCTAACCAAGTTCTTCAATCTTCTGGGATGTGATTTTTGCAGTGTAGGGTTGTGTATTGTCCTGATGAAACACCACTCCTTTTCAATTCATTAAAACAGGGTTTTTTTTTCTTCAAAGCCACATTCAAATGCTCTAATTGCTGACAGTAGTCTTGACCATTGATTGTTGCATTAGTTGATAGCAACTCAAAATGAATTATTCCTTTGCAATCCTACCAAATTGAGAGAAGAACCTTCTGTGCATGAAGTTTCCTCCTCACTTGTGTTTGGGCCTTTCTCCCATAACCAAGCCACTATCTATGACATTTAACATTTTCATAAAAAATCCATTTTTCATCACCAGTCACAAGGCTATCCAAAAAAAGCAAGATAAGTTCATGAGAATGAAGAGAAGAGCTGATGTCCGCTCGGGATTTCCTGTTGACTTCAGACAATTCATGAGGTACCCATTTTCCAATTTTAGGAACCTTTCCAAGTCGTTACTGATGAACAGTTGTATGGTTTGAACAAAGCTTCATTACCAATTCTTTAACTGAGACTGCAGGATTTTCTTCAAGAGATGCCATAAGGAGCTAATCAGCAAACTCAAACGGACGTCCTGTTTGGTCTTTATCTTAAGGCTGAAATTTCCACTTCTGAATTTGGAAAACCATTTTTCTGCAAGTTCTTACATTCAGGCCTTCTTCTCCATTAGCTGAGTAAATATTTTGAGTCTCTTCAGCTGCAGAGTTTCCCTTTTTTTAAACTCATAAAGCTTTATGTGCATTAAATGCTCCTTAGACACTTCCATCTTTGAGGGACTAATTTGAGTAATTAATTCAGTCAAATTATTCTGTAAAAAGAAATTATATTAAGTTAAAGGTTTCTAAATTCATATGATTATTAATCAATTTCATTTGACATTTTAGAATACTGTAAAATTTGATTGAAATTACATAATATTTTAGACAGACCTCATAAATTGCCCTAAATAAAACAGTGGGATCTATGCACATGTGCATCAAATGCTATGAGATGCACATGTGAATTGTGTTGCAGTATACGTGTTAATACCATTTTTTTGTTATTCAGTTATTTTTATTGTATAGTATGAAACTCAACCTATTTGAATTGGGATAATTGCCAGGAAATACTGGGAGAAGTCCGTTCTGTAAATTTTTTTTCTCCTCCAGAAACTTTAAATAATTTATGCTCCAAGTTATTTCTTGTACGATAACAGAACATCTATCATACTTTTATGATATCATATTATCATATGGGGGTTGAATGTTGAATTCTTGCCAAGGCAATTGTAGCAATTTCTTTACTGAATATTGACTGGTTTATCAGATGAGTATATTCTGTTTCCATTTTTGAACTGATATATACCTACTCAAACACATCTCCATTATTTTCCCACCTCACTGCATATGCAAACTTTTCTTCTAGCCCAAGTTGAATGGCAAATTATGCTGTCTCACCATTACATTCACTTACCTGCTAATACCTTTTGCAGATGGGTAAAAATTCTATAGGCAACCTAACCTGTTGGGGAAAAAAAAAAATCTGCCTTGTCAGTCATGTATTGTATCAAAAGATACATTGTCAAAAAGCGCATAGCAGGACAAACCGTATCATGCATGGCACATAACTGACTGAAATTATTTTACAAAAGATTTACCCTTGGGGAAGGTATTTGAATCCTTTCTTCTGAATGATTGTAATCCTTTTTCTTCTCCCCATTAGGACAGGCTTTTGTCTATAGCCTTGGATGGCAAAATTCTACCACAGAAAGAAATGGCAATGTAATGTGGGGGAAAAAAATCTGCATTTCAGTAATGTATCAAAAAGATACATGATCTAAAGTTTGTTATCATGCATGGCACATAACTGACTGAATTGTTAAAAATATTTTTGTTATATATATATATATATATATATATATATATACATACATATATATATATATATATATATATGATACCTCAAATATTTGAAAATAAATAAAAAAGAACATGCCACGATGAAAAATGGACCTACCTGAACTTGATAAAAACAAAGTTTTATTGTCAAAATGTTTGTTGTTATTATGAGGAAAGACCAAAGTATTTTTGAAGTATTTTATTAAATGTTTTAATCTGTTCTAGAAATTTTGGTTAAAAATCTTGTTTTTCTCAAGTCGGCAAGTGGACCAAAGATTATTATAGGAAATTTAGCATCTTTTTTTATATTAAAAAAAACAAAAAAACACAATGGTTTGGAAATTCTTGCCACAATCAAATAATTGTTGGATTTTAATGAAATTTTCAGTACTTATTCACAAACGAATTAAATTATTTTTTAAACTTTTTTGATAAAATTTTTTTTAATACATCTATTACCCCCTCCCCACTTAATTTTATTAAATTTTGAGAAATTAAAATTCCAGCCTCTTCATATTTATATTAGTTAAAAGCAGGATCTTTATAGAAATTAAATCATCAATTTGTTTTTGCCAATCAGAAACACCATTTACTGAAAATTTGCTTTGAATTGACATTATTTAAGAGCTTTTATAATAAAGATATATTTTCAAAAATTATTGTCTTTTTAATTTTTGTTTTTGAATAAATAATGGATTTTTATAAGAATTGTTTACATTTTCAAAATTTTAATGGGAATAATTTGTTTTAAATCTTTTGGGAAAAAATATTAATTTCAAAAAATATAATAAAAAAAAATTATATAAATTTAAAGAATCATAAATGGAAAAACTTAGTACAAATCATCAAACTCTAATATTTTTTTAATTTAGAATTTTTTTTTTTTTTGTGTGTGTATATATATATATATATATATATATATATATTATTAACATTTTTTTTTAGTAGATACAAAAATCATAATAAAAACATTTAAAAATAAAGTTTAAATTTATAGTAAATTTAAAAGCCAAAAAAATATCTGAAATTTAAAATATTATATTACAGATTTAATATTTTCTTAAATTTTAAAAATTTTGAAAACATTAAAAATTATATATAAAAAAAAAAATGTTATATTTAATTTATATATATATATATATATATATATATATATATATATATATATATTTTGAAATTGAAAATACAAAAAAAAAAATTTTTTTCTTGTTTTATCCTTTAAATTTTAAATTAATTTATAAAAAATTATATATAAATAAAATTCAAGTTAACATCAAGATAAAATTACATTTGTTATTGAATATTTTATTAATTTGAATTTTATTAATTTTTGAATTTTAAATTACTGATTTATATAAAATTAAAAATTTTGCTTTTTTTAATTATGCTAAATTGATTTTTTTTCCATACTTTTGAATTAAAAAATTTTTGTTTTTTTTAATTGGTCAACAAACTAATTTTTGCATGGCACAAAATTTTTGTTTTTCGAAAATATATATTTGTAACAAAGCCTTTTTGCATCTTTTTTTTAAGAATTTTTAAATCATAAAAAAATTCACATTGTTCTAAAAATTATTTCAAAAAATTTTTATTTGTTTTTTTTTTTTAATTTTTGATTTTAGGTTAAATCATCGAATGTTGAAAAAATAAAATCTTTTAGCAAAAAAATGATAAAAAAAATTTTTTTTTTCAGAAAACAAATTAAAAATTTATTAAAAAAAATTTTACATTTTAAAATCATTTCATTTTATAATTTATTTTTTATTTTTTTTTATTTTCCATTATAATTAAAATTTAAATTCAAATTATTTTTTAAAATATTCAAAAAAGAAATTGGAAAATTAGTCTTTAAAATATAGCTTTAATTAAATTTTAAGAATTTAAAAATATTTATATAAATATATAAATAAATATATATATATATATATATATATTTATATAAAATTTAATAAATAAAATGTATTTAATTAATTGCTTGAATTTTTAAATAAAAATTATTAAAATTAGACATTTTTTTTAATATTCAAAAATTTTTTAAAAATTTGTTTCTTTACAAATCGAATCTTTATTCTTAAAAAATTTTGATTTTCAAATTTTTGTATTGATTTTTATTTAAAGATTATTAAAGTTTGAATTACTGTTTTTTTTTTTGAGAATTTTTGATAATTTTTTATTTTTTCATGAAAATATCTTAAAATTAAACATTGAAAAATTTTACAAAATGAAAATTTGAATTTAATAATTTGAAAAATATTTAATATGTTTTCTTTTTTAAATGTTATTTTATAGATTTTGATGTATGAAAAAAAAAAAATTTAATGTAAAAAAATTATTACATTTTGAATTCTGAATTAGAAAATTTTCATTTTTATTTTTATAAATTAAATTTAATTATTAGTTATCTTTCATTTAAGAAAGAATGTTTGTCCAAATTCAATTGTTTTTTTTATTTTTTTTTCAAGAAAAAAATT